TTGGATTGTTGAAAAGTATTTTTGTGAATTTTTTCAGATTTTTTAATTGCTTCAGGCCTTCAGAAAAAATATAGATAGAAAATGGACGTTTATACCCGAAGTGGGGGGTAGGAGGGGGGAGGGGGTCTAAAATTTTGGTTCTGGGTCTTTTTTACCATGTACTATAACATACCAAAAGCGCGTCAAGATCGGTGACATACGAGCGCAGGTTTATTTAAAAAATTCTGAGCCTTACCCATATATAAATATACCTGTATTTAAATTAATAAAAAAAACTGTACCAAACTTAACATCAGTTCATGTAAGAAGCGACGGACCATCGACACAGTACAAAAATAAAACAAATTTTTTCCTTTTTCGGTATAATTGTAATTTGCTTAAATTGAATAGCGCATCTTGGAATTTCTCTACACCAGGGCACGGAAAAAGTAGTGCCGATGCAGTAGGAGGAAATGCGAAAAAAATTTGCGATCAGTATGTGTTGCAAGGAAATGATGTAGCGTCAGTCGATGATTTTATAAACGCTGTAAATAAATCATCGAATAAAATCCATGTATTTCCTGTAAAATTTGAGGAAATTGAAAATGTTGATAAAATTATTCCCAAAAATTTAAAACCAGCGCCAAACTCAAATAAGATATTTCAATTACTTTGGAATTATCATGATACAGACGCGATGCAACTCAATTATCTTTCGTGCAACTCATGTTTTAAAAAGTCTTATTGTAGACAATATGCGCTTAAACCAAATATTTGGAGAATGGATAAAGATTCGGTCAAAAAAAATTTGAAGCGTTAAAAATGAAACTTGAATTTCATTTACTTTGTTTTTTTGTTTATTTATTTTTTTTATTATTATTGTTATGTTATGACTAATTGTATTTGTTATGACTATGAATTGTATAATGTCGAATTATTTGCTATGACTATGTTGTATAATGTCGAATTATTTGTCATCATTACATTTTTTTAAATTTGTTTTCTTTTAAAAAAATGTTTGTTAAGGGGTTAACGAAGTTAGGTAATCTCGTTGAATTATTTGTTTTTACGAAAATATTTAAACAAATTGTGTTATTTGTTAAGACAATATGATCTATTATTGTTAAAAAATTATGATTAAATGTTGTTTAAAAGTTTTTAAAGTGTTCATTATAATCGAATACTTAAAATAAACATGAAAATAAGAAAAAAAAATTAAAATGTTTTCAACCCTTATTTCTGAAGTCACCGTTCATCCCTTATCGTGAGCCCGATGTTTTTTCAGGTGAAAATGTTCAAGAAAATTCATATCCCGTAAGTGTGCCAAGAAAAAATTTCTATTTAATTTTTTTGTCGAAAAACTAAAAGTTTCAGAGAATTTCACATATATGCACACTGCAAAAGAATATAATAGAATAACAACATTTCTAATATATTATTTGTTATATATTCTATATAAGTGTGAATGATATACTTACGGGCAACTAGAATGACTCGAAAGATGTACCTGTAACGACCAGTCAAAACAGAATGACGAATGCAATTATCACGCAACAATAAAAAATATTACTGACACTTTTTTTCACGTCTGCTATCCCGATTTTTCGCGAGCGAATGCCAACTTATGAAAGTTCTTGTGCTAATAGTCGTGGTTTAGTCGTACTTCACTCATCGTAAATCTCTTGTTTGGGATGGACGTTACTGTGCTAATCGGCTTTTTACTTACATTGAGTAAAGGTTATAGATTATTTCGCACAGTATTTTTAGTTAAGTATATTCTTTATCAATATTGTTAGTATCAGTGTGTAGACTAATGATGGATAATCAAGAAAATGATAATATATACTATCATGGTCACGAACGACGCAAGGTCTTATCAAAGGACAGAAGGCGTTATCAAACTTCTGCCAAAAGACTGAGCATGAAAAAAGTGCAGTAAAGCGGTTCGTTATAGTTCATAAGCTTATTATTTAAAAAAAACCTTATTTATAACGTGCTCACTGGTGTTCATATGTTATTTAGTTTTCGGTAATCCATTTATTCTGCCACAATAATCTCCCGCCGCATTGCATAAATATGTTGATGTTATCATATAAAATAGGGCTAGATTTCAAAGATGTTTTTTAATTTTAATAAACTTCGAGTATAATGCACGTGCATATTTGATGTCACGTATATATTCCTTCTATTTTTAAAAAAATGATAAAATAATCGCGATAGAGCGAATTAGAAAAGATCGATAAATTGATAGGGAAGCTCATTAGCTTATGGCAGTGCGCTGAAATTTTAATTATGCTAATATCTGAAAACCTACGATTATTGCGTTCGTTCTTTTTTTTGGCTTCACTCTCTATACCAAGCAACCAAGGGGCAGTTACGCTACAAAAGTATTTTCTCGTCTTTTTTGGCGATCATGTAATGTAGTTATATTACGGTTAAATAATAATAACAGCTAGAATTAAGAAAGGAAGAATAATTTATTTAAAGGAAATATGTAGGAAAGAAGTATACCGCCGTTGCTTACGAGTAAAAACACACATCATCGAAGCGCCGTGAAAAAAAACACACTTCTTCGGAACGCTGCGAAAAAAAACACACCTCATCGGAGCGATGCGAAAAAAAACACACCTCATCGGAGCAATGCGAAAAAAAGCACACCTCATCGGAACGCTGCGAAAGAAACACACCTCATAGGAGCGCTGCGAAAAAAAACACACCTCATAGAATGCCATGAAAAAAAACACAGCACATTGGATTCCGCGAAAAAAAACACAGCTCATTGGATGCCGCGAAAACAAAACACACCGAATCGAAATTTGTTGCGTTTTTATTCTGCTGTGTTTTTTTTCGCAGCATCCAATGAGGTGTGTTTTTTTTCGCGGCACCCAATGAGCTGTGTTTTTTTTACGGTATCTGTTGGGTTTTGGCGCCTTCGGACAGGGTTGCTGGAGTGAGAGAAGGGATTTTGCGTGAGAGCGCTCAACGAGCGGTGAAAGAAGGTAATGATTAATTTGAATGAGAGCTGTTAGTCAGCAAGAGACGGTCGCTACTCTCACTCCAGCAACGGAGCTTTGGAGCCTATCGCGCTAATTGTCAATTTATCGATCACAGTTTAATAAAGTTATTATTTCAAAAGAAAGGTGTGCATAGTCTTGGCTTTTTCCCGCAACCCACAAGCCAGGACGGCTCATTTAATTTCTACGGCCCGCAGCGGCAACATTGGTAGCAGAGCGTAATTATTATAAAAGAAAAGAAAGCAAATCTCCTTTTGCTCGAAATTTGCGTGAAGATTGGTCAACGAACAAGTATAACAACACAGGCGGCGTCAACAACAGATCCCTCGGTGTTTATTTACACGAGATAATTTTGGCGCGAGTCGACTGGTGTAACGGTTTTCTCGTGGCGCGAGTTGACGTTATTTTTCCATGGCAACTATGGAAAGCCTACTAAGAGCGCAAGAAAAACTTGCGCAGTATATTGCTAATTTTTACAAGAACTCCACGGAGAAGGTGCGAGGAGACCTCCAGACGGCTTCTCACTTCGCGGCAAGGCTGGAGCTGTTGGAAAGCTATTGATCAAAGTTTACAGTTAATAACGACCAGTTGGTATGCTGTGAAAAGGATTTCGCATCGGAGACTTATTTCACCAACGATGGGTACGGTTACATCGAAGCCGAATATATCAGCGCAAAGGCAAGAATCCGGGACTTGTTGGCAACGGCTCTTCCGTCTGGTGGTTCGGGGGAAGCGTCGGTGGGAGGATCGGAGATCAGGATCGAGCAGTTCTCCTCTTTGCCCAGTCTCGCCCTTCCAAAATTTTCCGGCAAGCAAGAGGAGTGGGAGAGTTTCAAGCAGCGATTCTCCTCACTCGTCCGGGACAAGGAGCACATACCGAATATAGCTAAGTTGCAGCATTTATTAAACGCGGTCCAGGGCCCAGCCGCGTTGCGCTTGCGAGGTCTGGAGATTACCGAGGCCAATTTTGATGTCGCTTGGGAGAAACTAATGCGTCGTTATGACAACCGACGTATTCGCCTGGCCACCACACTTGAGAATTTAATCCAACTATCGGCGGTGAAGTCCAGGAACGCGCAGGAGCTCAGCGAGCTGATTGATCATTCAGAGGAAGCGGTTCGCTCGTTGAAGGAACTGCAGTGCCCCGTCGAACATTACGATGCATGGATTGTACATTGCGTAGTACGCAAGCTCGATACGAACTCTCGAGAATCATGGGAAATTTCGCGTGAAAACTGTGATGAGCTGCCGAGCTATTGCGACCTCGTGAATTTCCTCGAGAGACGCATTCACTCTCTTGAACAAGCAAGACCAGCGAACGAAAGCCGCGAAGCTCAGACTTCAAGACCGCGCGGCTCGGGTCAGCACCATGTTTTTGCCAGCAGCACGCAGGTTCAAGAGGATGGCTCTGAGGGGAGGATTGCGCCTCTCTGCGATTTATGCCAAGGAGGACATTGGCTTCATAAATGCTACAAATTTTTGGCTCTGTCGCAAGCTCAGCGATTGGACCTTTGTAAAAAGAAAAAGCTTTGTTTAAACTGCCTGCATAAGTCGCATTTCGCCGACAGATGTCCGTCAAACTTGCGATGCTTGGATTGCCGCGGTAAGCATCATACTAAACTTCACATTGACGCTGTGAATAGGAAGATACCAAGGCGACGCGACACGGATGGTGGTTACGACGACCAGGGCGACACCGCGGACCCAACGGCGGAGGACGGATCGGAGCGTTCGATCGTTGCGCATACTACGATCGCAACCGCTGATGTCCTTCTCGCTACAGCTTATATAAAAATTGAAGCAGCTGATGGAACGTCATTGATTGTCTGAGCTTTGATTGACCCTGCGGCGCAGCGTTCATTTATGTCAGAGCGTCTGGAAGCACAATTGAAATTGTCAAGAAGGAAGGCAGCTTAGGCTATCATTGGCATCGGTGCCGGAGTGACCGCGAGATCCCGAGGTGAGGTGTGCTGCACCGTCAGATCGCTAAAGCTCGCCGACTTCACTATGGATGTTGCGGCGTTGATCGTGCCAGACATCACACGGTATCTTCCGCCGAGGAAAGTTCCACTTAACTGCTGGCCGCATCTCGCCGACCTCGAACTGGCCGATCCGCAATATCACATACCTGCAAAGGTGGATTGTGTGTTGGGCGCTGATGTCTATCCATTATTAATCCAGGAGGGACTGGTGAAAGGAAAAATAGGAGATCCAGTTGCACAAAATACGGCATTTGGCTGGATCATCACCGGGCCGATGCTGCCAGACCTCAAATTTCACGATATGGACAAAATACAGGTGTTTCATACCATTGTCGAGCCGTCAATCACATCCATGGTGGCCAAGCTGTGGGAGCTCGACGACGTGCAGGAAAAGCAGCACCTTACGGAGGAAGAAAGGCGCTGCGAGGAATTGTTTGTTCAAAGCCATTACCGGAACGAGGACGGCAGATTTGTTGTGCGACTTCCATTTGCAAAGCGAATCAATTTGGGAGAATCTCGCGGTGCGGCGCACGCGTGCTTATTGCGCACAGAGAGACGCTTTTCTCTAAACAGGCCGCTATTCGACGCTTACTCGACATTCATGAGAGAATACGTCGAACTGGATCACATGCAGTTGGTACCAGACGGTCAGCGGTCTCGACCGGCCTTTTACATGCCTCATCACGCAGTGTTCCGTGAAGACAAGCCTGGAAAAATTCGAGTTGTTTTCAATGCCTCTCGAAAAACAACGAACGGACTGTCTCTCAATGACGTCCTGCTTCCGGGGCCGAAGCTTCAGGCTGACATAACGGTGGTACTTACGAACTGGCGTTTTTTCGGAACTGCAGGTACCACAGACGTCGAGAAGATGTTTCGGCAAATTCGGGTGCACGACGACGACATGGACTTTCAGAGGGTGCTGTGGCGTCTCGAGCCATCGTCGCCTATACAGGATTTTCGATGCACCACGGTGACTTATGGCACAGCGTCGGCGGGAATGAGGCTCGGCAAGTGGGCTGCATCTGACCCGAAGCTCATCGACGGCCTCGTATCGACGTCGGAGGATGTGGTGCCCTTGAACGTCGATGAAATAGTGTCTACACTGGGGCTCAAATGGCTGCCTGGACAAGACAGCTTCACATTTCAATTTGCGGCTCGCCCCACGCAGGTCGAGATCACGAAGCGATCAATTTTGGCGGAGATCGCAAGGACATTTGATCCTCTAGGCTGGCTGTCCCCGGTGCTGGTGTCGGCCAAGGTTTTGTTGCAGGATCTGTGCCTGGACGGCGTCGACTGGGACACCCCGATCTCTGCAACTTTGGAGCAGCGATGGACGGACTTTACCGCTGCTCTGCCCGAGGTCGCCTGCATCCGAATCAAGAGATGGTTAAACACGCGCGAAGGAGAGGATTGGCACTTGCATGGCTTTGCGGACGCTTCCAAGCGAGCCTATGCTGCAGCGATTTACGTCGTCTTGCCCGGAAGAGCATCGCATTTAATCGTAGCCAAGACGAAGCTCGCCCCGACAAAGGTCCAGACGGTGCCCAGACTGGAACTGTGTGCCGCAGTCTTGTTGGCTCGACTTGCAAGGCATTTGATAGATAAGCTGAGATTTCCCCCCAGAAAAGTATATTGTTGGTCGGACTCGAGAGTCGTATTGGATTGGATAGCCTCTCATCCATCGCGGTGGCCGACGTTTGTAGCAAACAGGGTGAGCGAAGTGCAAACGAGGCTTCCCTGGGCTCACTGGAATCACGTACGTACCATGGATAACTCAGCGGACTGCGCTACACGAGGCCTCACTCCGCCGGAATTGGCCAAGTTTTCGCTGTGGTGGTATGGACCCAGCTGGTTGATCGAGGAGGAAACGTCGTGGCCGAGATTGACAGAGCCGGGCGAAGTTACAGCATCGACGGCGGCTGTGGAGAGTACTGCGCGACCAACGATTGACGCTGAAGACGTGTGCTTGTCTGACTTCAAAAAGTTTTCAGACTTCAATAAAATTACAAGAATTATAGCGCTATGCCGCCGCTGGAGCGATCGTTTTTCCACTGGATCATCGTGGCAGCCGTCGGAAGATTTTTGTGACGAGTTGACGGAGGCTCGATTCTTATGTTTCAAGAGGATGCAAGCTCATCATTTTTCGGCTGAGTTGAAGGCTCTGAAGGCAAAGAAGCCCTTGCACAAGCGAAGTGTGCTTGCAAAGTTGACCCCGTTTATCGACAGGAGAGGTCTTCTGCGCGTTGGTGGTCGTCTTCATCATGCGCAGTTGTCGTACAATGAAAAGCACCCAGTGATATTACCAGGAGATTGCACGTTTGTGCGAAGAATGATTGAGACTGTTCATAGAGAATTGTTGCACGGTGGACCTCAATTGATGCGCTCGCATCTGTCGCGCTCTGTATGGATTGCTCGTGGCGTACATGTAATCAGGGGCGTTTGTCAGCGATGTGTAAGGTGTGCGCGATACAGGGCCGCGGCCATCAGTCAGCAAATGGCTCCTCTCCCAGCCGTTCGAGTGACTCTCGGGCGACCCTTTTCAATTACTGGAGTGGATTACGCTGGACCTTTGCCGGTGTTATTCTCAAAAGGAAAGGGTGCGAGAGCGACGAAGGGCTACATCTCTATTTTTATTTGTATGGTGACTCGAGCTGTTCACGTGGAGGTTGTCTCGGACCTCACTGCCGCTGCCTTCCTTGCAGCTTTTAGTCGCTTTTGCTCTCGTCGTGGCTTGCCCTCAGTGATGTACTCGGACAACGGAACCACGTTCAAGGGTGCGTCTAAGGAGTTGATGGCATTGTTCAAGCAGGATTCAAGATTTCGCGCCGGGGTCGGAAGAGCGTTGGCAATGCGAGGTACACGATGGTCGTTTATCCCACCTCGAGCGCCGCATTTCGGAGGACTTTGGGAGGCTGCAGTCCGCAGTTTCAAGCATCATCTGAAGAGGGTGATTGGAAAGTCGCGGTTGACGTACGAGGAGCTTTCGACGTTGGCAGCGCGTATCGAGGCATGTTTGAATTCTCGTCCCCTTTGTCCAATCTCAGGAGATCCGGATGACCTTGCAGCGCTCACACCAGCGCATTTTTTGACGGGATCTTCGCTGCTGAATTATCCCGAACCATATAACCCGAAGGAGAAGCCCATGTATTTTACGAGTCGTTGGAGACTGCTGCGTAACATGCGCGATATGTTTTGGACCCGGTGGCGAAGAGAGGTGTTGAACCAGCTGCAACAACGTAGCAAGTGGTTGGACTCGAGATCCAACTTGCAAGAAGGTGACATGGTTTTGATAAGAGACGAGCTCTCTCCTCCGTCTGAATGGCCACTCGGGCGAGTCACGAAGACTCATCCAGGGACAGATGGGCTGGTGCGCGTGGCTACCATCCGGACCGCACAGGCTACATTTACGCGGCCAGTCGTGAAGTTGACGAGACTTCCCACGGATAAAGAGGCAGAATCTTACTACGCCACACGACAACGTCAATGATCTGTTGTTTCAATTTTTTCTTGTTTCATTGTTTTTCTTTAAAATTGATCGATATTAATTTTGTTTTATGTTTGCTTTTTGTAACTCGTTTTTTTTTGTGATTTAATTGATTCTTGTGTAACTTTGCGTTTTAATATTTTTATGTAATTGAGCCTGTTATTGTTCTTTTTTTTTTGACGCTGTGTATCGTCAACACGGGCGGTATGTTGGGTTTTGGCGCTTTCGGACAGGGTTGCTCCGAGTGAGAGAAGGGATTTTGCGTGAGAGCGCTCAACGAGCGGTGAAAGAAGGTAATGATTAATTTGAATGAGAGCTGTTAGTCAGCAAGAGACGGTCGCTACTCTCACTCCAGCAACGGAGCTTTGGAGCCTATCGCGCTAATTGTCAATTTATCGATCACAGTTTAATAAAGTTATTATTTCAAAAGAAAGGTGTGCATAGTCTTGGCTTTTTCCCGCAACCCACAAGCCAGGACGGCTCATTTAATTTCTACGGCCCGCAGCGGCAACAGTAATCAATGTGCTGTGTTTTTTTTCACAGCATTCAATGAGCTGTGTTTTTTTTCGAGGCATTTTATCAGTATGTTTTTCTTCGTAGCGTTTTTCACTGTGTTTTTACTCGTAAGCAACGGCGTTACAGTGTACAGCTCTTACACGTTACACATTCCAGAGCGATCTGACCTCTGTCTCACCTGAGCTGCTAACAACGAGCTGTATGTGGCACTCCTTGCTGGTGTCGTGCGTTTATGTATTATTATTATTACAACATATGACCCAAATTTAATGAATTTTTATATAAATTCGAAAATTTAATCATGAATACATCATTTTACGCAGTAATTTCCCCTTTTATGTGGTCTCAAAATATAGATTACGTATACTGCATGATTTGCATTGCCCACTTTGACCATAATTTAAAAAAATATTCTTATATTTTAATACTTTAGTCATTATACTTGTAACAGTTTACCCTCAGGAGGCGAGTAAATTGTCCATCGAGATGTCTGTTGATCTGCAAATGGGGAACGAAGAAAAGGTGTGCGAAAAATAATCTACGCGATAATGTAATGTATAAATAATAATTAGGCTTATTTATTAAAAAGGGCATAAATTCTAAATATTTGTAGCATTCATCGCTCTCACTCAAAGCTTTTACAGATTGTTTCATAATCCCAATTAGATATGTAAAGGAGGTAGTAAAACTTTTTTAGGGTCTACTAACGGACTCTTAATAACATTATGATGTCCAGGTTCTAGAGAATTTTTCTCAGACCAATTGTAATCAGTATAATGTTTTTTACGATCTCTGCTTCCCATTAGCACTTGAAACATGGGTACTTTCTAAATCCAGATTGCTGTCCTGCTGATGGGAGGGTGGCCAACATAGAGGAAATAAACTCAAACGGCCACCTTTACGCCAATCGTTTGAAGAAAAAAAGGTGGGCTATAAAAGAAAAAGGTAAAAAAGCAGGCAAAATTAACAATATTTCATCAAGTTTTGTCCTCTGTTCATTAACTTAAGCTTGAAATAACCTTGATCTTGACTTTTCACAGGTTACTCAATCAGAAAGCTGAATTACTCTGCTCCGAAAACCTATACACATTCTTTTTTCGATACTTTATCGTTTTCACTAGATGTCATCTTAAAATAAGCTCAAAATAATTTAGTATAGTGAAAATGAACTTTGTTTCAAATTCAGCGACCTTCAAAACATAAATGTGATATTTTTTGCATTCTTATATTGAATTATTTAAGTTTGACCTTCAAATGACCTTGAAGGTAAGATTGTAAAGGTCCTCTGACTTTAGATTTGAATTCAGCATCCTTGAAAAACCACATAGAAGTTTTTTTCCAATTTTCTAACCTAGTTTTAACATTTTGACCTTCAAATGACCTGTAAATGACCTGTAGATGTCTAAATTTAGTCAAAATGATCTCGACCAGCGTCCCTCAATACATAAGAAATATATTTTTCGAACTTTTATATTGAATTATTTAATTTTGACCTCAGATTCGAATTCAGCATCCTCAAAAACCCGTACAGGGATAGTTTCGAGTTTTTAAACCTATTTTTCATGATTTGACCTTTAAATGACCTTCAAATGACCTCAAATCGATCTGATGGCGAAAAATCGACGACGGATTTGGATTCAGCGACCCCAAAAACATAAAGTCTACTGGGTATGGTCTCTGGAACTGAGCATTTTTTTTATTTTGTGTGCTTGTGTTATCAATGTTAAAAAGGGGTCTATGGTGAGACCGTACACCGGGCCGCAAAGAGTCATTCATAGAGATTAGTCAAGAAAGCACTTTGATATCGGTATGCACGGTGAACAGGTGAATGTTTCAACAGAGTATTTAAAACCCGCGGTTAGCACCTTGAATGAATTGCCTTTCTTCGAGAACTAGTCGCCTTTGCAGGCACCTGACGATGGTAGTGATGACGTTGAACTATGAAGAGAATTTTGTCGTCGCTGACGGCATGGATTTGATGGGACACGGTCGTTGTGTTCCTGGCAACTCTAAAAATGTAGCTCCTCGGCGAGATAAAGTTTCTCAATATTTGTCTAGGCATGGCATTTCGATGGAAAATTCTAGCGTTCCCCGTGACCCTTGTAATAGTGAAAGTCGCAATGCTGGTACACATTCGAATCGCAAAGACTCAAGTTCTCGTCAGGACTCGGGCATGCATTTGGCTTCGGAAGTTCACAAAAATCGTCAATTAATTTCTGAATTTGTAAATAATCAACTTAATGACAACGGCAACGACTTGAATCACGGTAGTCTTCCTCAATTTTTGGAGTTGGCCCCGTCTATCTTTGACACCCGGCAGCACGAAATAGTCGTAGACGGGGGCGATTACAGTGTTCCCAGCGAAATTTTGAACTATGACAGAGTAGTGGAAAATTCTCAATCCTCACATCCACATATTAATACACGGAATAGGAAACATGTTTGTGTTCTAGTAAGCAGTACTATTTTATTATAGTATAACTATTGACTGACTGTATACCTCAATTGGTAACGTACAGCTGAAGCATGGAGCATGGGAGTTGGTTGGAACCGCAGAGGTGGTTCGGGTCGGTACTTATTTACAGTTAGCACGATTTAAAACGGTGATCTTTATAGCGCCAAAAAACACCTCGAATATGATGAATCATTTATGATATAAATATGATCTTAAAGATCGAGTTTTTAACTTTAAAATGCCGTGTCTAAAATCGATCGAACTTTGTTATTTTAAAAGTTGCGGGTGTTTGAAAATTGCAAAAATAAGCATTTTTTACTTTTTCAGTCTCCATATCTAGGTAAATAATTATTTTACGATCATTTTACAAGAAACACTTTTTGCCTAAAATTACTCACAATTTTGTGTTAAGAATTCATAAAATAGTATATTTCTCAGCAGGTGCACAGACGGTTTTTTAGCAAAACGAGGAGTTATACCACGAGCCGAAGGCGAGGCTCTGAACTTCAATATCGCTTACTTTACATTATTAGCACAAGGCGATGGTGGAGTGCTTTAATCCATCGTTTTGCTAAAAAACCATAGCTGCACCCGTTGAGAAATATACTATTTTCTTTATTTTGCCAAAGTGAAAAAGTTATATATTATTTATAATACCGTGGTTCGATAGTATAACTAAGTTGTAACTTATGTATCTACGAAAATCTAGTTACCGCTACTATTACCGTCAGTCAATTTTTTTACTATTGCGCTCTAGTAACCAATACTATTTGAAATTTTCAGTGTGGTCCTCTCAGGTCAAAAGCCACCATGTCCCACAGCTTACTTGGCTTAGGTGCCGATTGTGCATAAGGCAGTGTGTGATTCTTTTTAATTTTTTTGCACGGGGTGCAGTTGCGCACGTAGTTTAGTATGTCTTTCATAATGCTCGTCCATGTGTATTTCTTCTAGAGTTGGCGCGCAACAGCATCTTGCACACGCTGGCTGGCACTGTGATTTGCCACAGATTGGTGCCTGGCTTCTTCTTCTAGACGAGGCCTTCTCTGCGACGTACCTGGCCATACTCAGAAATCGCTTTGAGTTCAGGATCGTCTTGCTGCGTTCCGCGAATTCGCTCCGCTGGGTCGTCGTTATAGGTCTTGAGATGTTCATAATAATCATTCGTATTGAGAAAATATTTCAATATTTTGTGAGTGTTCTTACAATAAAAAGTGTGTGAGAATTATACGGATAAAAGCAAAAAATGAATACGAAAAAATTGAATATTTCAAATGCCACTATACGAGGCTAGGGTGCAATATTCTGGTCGAAACCTACGTCATTTTCAAGCTTATTACACATGAAAAAATACCAGAGTTTAAAAAAAATTAGTGTTGTTCCGAGTAAACCTCAGCTATTAGAAAACTAGAAAAATTGCGATTTTTTCCACTTTAGCAATATTCAAACGGCTCTACAGCAGTTAATTTTGAAGCAATCAAAAAGTTGAAGTAGTCAAATTAAAGTTCTGAAAAAATAACTTTAATTCACTTATTTCAAAATTTTGATTGCTTGAAAATTGACTGCTGCAGAGTCATTTGAATATTGCTGAAAATCCACAAAATTAGATATTTACTTGGACTACGTTCAAGATGTGGCTTTCGACGAAAACGTTGGGGTCAATGTTTTTTTGAAAAGTACTTTTTGAGACAAAAAAATTATTTCAACTACGTCTCTGACGAGTTAAAACTCACCCTTATAGAATTTTTCAGAAACTGACTAAAAACGGCGAAAAAAATCACGTTTTTCAATACTTACTTGTCGCTAGGCATCTCAAAAAAAAATATTTTTCGGACTAAAACTTTAAGAAAAGTCTTTTTTAATTTTATTCAATAACATATATTTTTTGCAGATTTTTTTTGAAATATCATCGTGCACGTTTTTTCAAAAAAGAAGGAGATTGACTCATTCATAAATATTTTTTTTCAGATAACTGTTATGAGTTTAGTAGCAATGAAAAACTTGAAAACAAAATGTATTCTGAAATTGAGGAATATTTTTGGATTAGTATTTCAAATATGTTAAGTCATGAATTAATTTGGTGGGCTTCAAGTATTCGATCTATACGTACTCATCAAAATATGTCCGATGCAATAATTCGATTAATAAATGATGAACAATACATAGCAGGTAAGTTAAATTTTATCCAAGAATTGCAGATACTTTTACGACCAGGTCCATGGTCTGACTCGACCAGATTTGTTGATGTGAAACATTTTTAGGGACATATCCATGAAAAACGAGAGTCTGACTAGATGCGTCTAAAATCTTTGAGGCTTTTTTCCGTATAAACTTTTATGTGAGTAAAACTGGTTGAATCATTCATCGCGGTATAAATGATTTTGGCGATCATCTCACATCACCGAGATGAACATTTGTGGCCGTAACTAGCAAGTGTCTGTGAGAATCTACTGACTTCTTTATTATAGCGCTGAACTATATAAGATGTGAGTGTCTAATCGACGAGTATAAGATGAGAGTCCTCGCACGTCTCGTTCAAATTTGTATGCATCAGATTTTAGTGATAGGCTTGGGTCAATAAATAATATAATACTATTGAATATATTAAAAAATAAAGTAATTACCATCTTTTAATACATTCAAAGTTTGCTCGTCAAAAAGAAAGGGTGGCACTACGCAAATATGGCAGGATGGAAATAAATAATAATTAATAACATCAAAGCAAAAGTTCGTAATAATTACACTAATGTACCAATTCATTATTTTGCAATACAAGAAGCTTACAGCGCGCTATGCGCTCATTAGATTTTGGTTAGTTTTATATTTTATTATGCTGAGCAAAGCGAAGTCGTTCCTGCCTGAACTCTCGTGATTTTCGTGTGGTTTTTGGAACACATTACCGCTGGTAATGCTCAGTCGATTGTTCTGTAAGTTTTGTGGGTTGTTCAGGGCGGTAGGCTGAAGGTCTGATTCCCACATTTGGTCGACCTGGTGCACCAGGTCACCGATTTGGGCCCTGTGAGAACTTCTACGGGAAGTTTTGTTATTTTTCGATCGTAGTGGTCGGGTAGGAGGTTCACCTCTGGTCACCAATCTGGCCCCTGTGAGAGCTTCTTCTGGAAGTTGTGTTGTTGCTACCTCGTAAACTCCCAACAAGCGTCCGCGTGTGTGTGTGTATTTTTTTTTTTTTTTCTACTCCACCCCATTCGGACACTCACCGGAATCCGCCGTTAGGCATTGCTTCGGTGAGGCCGGGGTTAGTTAAGCATTTCTGCTACTTCTGTTAGTAGTTGTTTTTCCTTACATCCCCCATCCGTCGCATAGCGATATGCGACGATTAGGGGTTCAGGGACTCATCTTCTTTCTGCTTGGTGAACCTCCGATCTTGCACGATGCCATCGTCGATTGTCGTATCTCCTTTTTCAGAGCCGTCTGCTGCGTAGTCACACATTGCTGGCATCTCCTCCTGAGTTGGACATCTTCTTTAGAACTCGCTGTCTAGTGCCATCTTGTGAGTGTGGTTCCCGCTTCAGGCGCCATCATGCGCTTTAGCAGAGCCTGGGCTCTCGCATCCGGCGCCCTCTTGTGAGTGTGTTTCTTGCTTCCGACTTCATCATAGGGGTGTTGTGCTCCATCTATTGCCAGCCTTGTGAGTCCTCGCCTCGGGCTCCTACTTATGGTTATCCTATCGCTTCCAGCTCGCGCAGTGATCGGGGTTTTTTACCGCTTCCAAGGCTAATGACATAGCCCGGGTCTTCTTTTTGAGTGGTACCCGCTCCACCTCGGGCACGGGCTTGACCACACCAGGCGAAAAAACGAACCTCGAAAATTCGTCTGGTGGGGATCGAACCCACGCCGTAGGGCGTACCTTGTATCAGCAGGCAAGAACTATACCCACTGAGCCGAGGAGGCCGATCGATGTGTGTGTGTGTTTTTTTTTTTTTTTTGGGATGTATTAATATGTTTTATTTAGCAGAAAAAGAAGGTAGAAGTTTAAATTAGGAAAATGTAACAATAGCAATGAGAGTATAAAATATTGAGTTAGGGTACATAGAATACGTAGATACATCCACATCAATTTCCCTTTGTTCCTTCCCCGCGGAAACCGCCGTTAAGCATTACTTCACGGGGGTGGAGGGATTGGCGTTATGCGCTTCGTGATGGCTTGGTTGGAATGGCGTCTTCTTCCAGCCGCATCGTCCGGTCATCACCTTCTGTCTGTTTCCTCGTCTCTCTAGTTACGACTGAGTAGGCGAAAGAAGCAACCGCGAGCCAGTTCGGCTCGCTCACAAGCATGAGCCTGGTGGTGTTTTCCGGCGTCATGACCTCGTGGAGCAGAGAGTGTAGTCTCTGTCTTTCTTCGCTGAACCTCGGGCAGTGATAGAATACGTGCTCCGCGTTCTCGATGAATGAGGGGCAGACCGGGCATTGCGCGCTTTGATTGTGGTCGTAGCGTCAGCTATGGTGTTTAAAGAAGCCATGCCCGGTCAAGAGCTGCGTGAGGTGGTAATTCAGCTATCCGTGCCTCCACTCGATCCACACTCTGATGTTTGGGATCAGTCGATGCGTCCATCGGGCCTTCGTCGACCGGTCCCATGCTTCCTGCCACTTGCTTAGAGTTGCCAAGCCGTTCGTCGTCCTTTGCGTCCTCTCGGCGGTGGCCGTAAAATCGCGCTCGCTCGTCCGCAAGAAGGGCCAGCAGTGGTATGCCGGCAAGGACATATGTGGCCTCGTAAGAGACATGCGGCCGGCCTCCGATTACACGCAGGCAGGCTCGTCGGTGGGCTGACTCCGCCTGGCGAATGTAGGCTCGCTTTTGTGCTGCTGTGCTCCAGACGGGGGCTGCATACAGGAGTATGGAGTCGACGAAGTGAGCATACAGCTTGCGTCGGCTGCTTCTGGGCCCGCCAGAGTTGGGCATGATCTTCGTAAGGGCACCGATCACACCGGTTGCCTTTGCGCTAGCTGTTCGGAGGTGGTGGTCGAACTTCAGCTTGGCGTCGATGTGCAGGCCCAGGTAGCGGATGGAGGGGGACGAGCGTATGCTGTGGTCGCCTACCGTGATGGTGATGGTTTCTTCTTTTTTTCTACTTGTGATGAGCAGAGCCTCTGTCTTGTGGTCAGCCGTTTGTAAGCTGAGAGCTTGGAGCGTGCCTCGCACCTGAACGATCGCAGCGTTCAGATCGTGTTCGATCTGCTATAGATGCTTGGCGACAGCCACCACTGCGATATCGTCCGTGAAGCCGGCGATACGAACATTGCCATCGAAAATGAGACGCAGGATCGCGTCATACATAACGTTCCACAGGATCGGGCCCAATACTGACCCTTGTGGGACACCTGCTGTGACTTCATAGGACTCTGGACCTTCGTCCGTGGTGAAGTCGAGCACTCTTGCCGAGAAGTAGTTGGAAATTATTCTCAGCAAGTAATCGGGTACGGGCAAACGGCGTAGAGCAGCGAGAATGTTGTCCCACCGAGCCGAATTGAACGCATTTCTCACGTCGAGTGTCACCACGGCGCAGTACTTCTTGGTGCCGCGGTACCATCTCTTGCCGAAGATGGCCGCACGGGCGGTGGAAATGACGTCTTCGATGGCATCTATCGTTGATCGCCCTTTCCGGAAGCCGTACTTTCGCTCCGAGAGGCCTCCGGGTCTCTCTGTGAATGCCTCCAGCTGGTCGCATATGATTCTCTCGAGAATCTTGCCCGCCGAGTCTAACATACACAGCGGACGATACGAGGACGGCTCGTCGAGGGGTTTGCCTAGCTTTGGGAGCAGGACGAGTCTCTGGCGCTTCCAGTTGGACGGGAAAACGCCGGTCTCCAGGTCGTGTACACCCGCAGGAAGATGTCGGGACGCGCGGCAATAGCGAGCTTGAGCGCCATGTTGGGCACGCCATCCGGGCCGGGCGCCGATCGCTCCTTGATCCTCGACTGAGCTCCTTTGAGTTCCTCCAAGGTGACGGCTGGGACCAGCTCTCCCGCCCGCGGAAACAGACCCGCCACCGCGCCGTGTGTGTGTGTGTGTGTGTTGAGTGTGTTCAGTGTGTGTGTTGCGGGTTGGTATACGAAGATCTGATAGTGATTATGTGCGGTAAAGGTAAGTATATGTATCGCAGTATTCAAGGAGCAACTGAATAAATCGATTTTGATAAGCAATTAGTTGAAACAGTGAAGATATATTTATTAAAGGAAAGAAATAATACAATGTAAGTTAACAATGATCAACGAGGTGTTCTCTATTGAGACTCGGCGGTATCTGCTCGCTCGCATGAGGCGCACGCACATTCGGCACACACACATACACACGTATACAGGTGAGAGCCACCGGCGGCAGAACGGAGCAGAGAAAATTGTATACAAAGAGACATCTATCTCTTTGCTCTAACACTTCCGCCTTTTCTCGTAAACATTAACAATTAGTCGGAAAACTCAACTTCGCATATATTTAAGCTTTCGCACATAAAATGAAAACGGTCATTCGGCAATGGCTTAGTAAGAAAATCTGCCTTTTGAACCTCAGACTTCACATTTTTCCTGTGTTGCTGCTTGCTGCCTTTCTTCCTGTGAGCGCCGCTTCCGCCATCTGCCTTCCCACCCTTTTTCACTGTTGCCGCGAGAGCTTTGGCTTCTTCCTCAATATCTCCTTCCAGGAATGATTCCTTTTCGAGAAGACGCTGTTGCAAATACTCGACGGTTTGTCGTGAGGGCTCCACACTGTTCCATGCACTGCGAAATCCTTTGTATTTGGATGGAAGGCTTGCCAGAATTTTCGCAGTGATTGTGAGATCGGAGACATTTTCTCCCACGTCGAGTAGCTGCCGTGCCATATTTTGCACTTTGGCGATGTGCGTGGCGACTGAGTCTGTCGCACTCATGCGATACTCGTGAAATCTCTGAGTGAGCAGGAGTTTGTGGGTCGACGAGCACTGAGCGTGTATCGCTTTTAGCTTCGTCCACATCTCTTTTGATGATTCACAAATTAAGATGTGCCTCACTTGCTCAGGCTCCATAGCAGAGGATATTAGAAACTTGGCCTTTGCGTCGTCTTTAAGCCAACTTTTCAGCTCGACTCCGCCTTGAGTGGGTCTCTCCCTCGTACCATCTACAATATCCTCTATGCCTTGAGCAATAAACAAATTTTCAAGCTGAAATTTCCACATTTGAAAATTGGTTGTGTTCAGCTTCTCGATGTGCCGAGTTGAAATTTCACTCGCCATCTTGATCACTTTAACCTACGATCGCAACACTGTAACGACTTTTCACTACACTGTCTCTTTCCTCGTTTAACGATCTTTGACTAAATACCGATCTTTCACTTTTCACGCGTATCCTGGGCCCATAACCTGATAAGCAATTAGTTGAAACAGTGAAGATATATTTATTAAAGGAAAGAAATAATACAATGTAAATTAACAATGATCGGCGAGGTGTTCTCTATTGAGTCTCAGCGGTATCTGCTCGCTCGCATGAGGCGCACGCACATTCGGCACACACACATACACACGTATACAGGTGAGAGCCACCGGCGGCAGAACGGAGCAGAGAAAATGGTATACAAAGAGACATCTATCTCTTTGCTCTAACATAGTTTACACAAGAAAGGTATGCCAAAATGAATAACAGTTCAAATGCTTTATTGTTTTTGTGAAAGATAGTGTAAAATTTTTTAGCATACCCATTTAGCGGAACGTTTTCATTGCGTCTAAATTTCTTTGAACAAAGTTCATGCACTCAGGGTTTGCAACATTTATGTACATCCACTATATGCCTTTTGAGTATATGCTGGTATCCAAATGATTTGTGACATATATCACACTCGAAGTGTTTCATACGATAGTGTACTACATTTACGTTAGTTTTAAGGTGACCCTTTTGTCCAAATGATTTGTGACAAATATCACACTCGAAGGGTTTGCTACGATTATGTACTGCGTTTATGTGATTTTTGAGTACATTCTGGTATCCAAATGTTTTGCGACAAATCTCACACTCGAAGGGCTTGCTTCGATCATGTACTGCATTTATGTGTCTGTTGAGATCCTTTTTTAGTCCAAATGATTTGCTAAAAATTTCTCTGTGACAAATATTACACTCAAATGGTTTGCTTCGAAAATGTACTGTCTTGATGTGACATTGAAGGTCGCCATTTCGGCCAAATGATTTGTGACAAATATCACATTCGAATGGTTGGGTTCTATTATGTATTCCATTTATATGAGTTTTGAGGTGTTCTTTACGTCCAAATGATTTGTGACATATCTCACATTCAAAGGATTTGTGACAATTTTCACAATCACATGATTTATTGCTCTTATGTGTCGCATAGCTCTGTGTTTTTAAACTTACTTTTCTTTCATATGTTTTTTGGCTCATTTTATACTCATAAGATAATTTAGTAAGGTCCTTTTTTCTGAATAATTTCACCTCCTTAAATTCCTGATAAGGGGATCGAACAGGGATGGTTTTTGCAGTTGTAGCGCGCATAAAGATACTAACAGAAAAGGTCTCTGCTTATAAAAAAAAGTCAGACTGAAACGCCCAAAACGGCTTCTGACTAGTGACTCGAGTCGAAATGCGATGCAGTCATTAAAGGTTGAAATAGCAACTTTTTAAAAGCACAACTAAAATATTGATCGTCTCATCGATCATTCGTTTCAAAGTTACTTGCAATTTGTAAAAAAATCGTCACAAGGAGTAAAAAAAAATTACTTTTATAAATAATTATTACCTATCACAAGTTTCAAGTGAAAAACAGCTTCATCCACAATTTCTTATTCTTCCTTCTGTAAAAAGTTGAACTTTTTACTTTTTTTTGTTATCTAAATATTTTGAAAGCGTAATACGCTTGCGCAAAAAAAATGAACAATAGCACTCTGCAGGCAGTATCATCAATTGTACACGGTGCACAGCACACTAAGCATACAGAGAGAGACGCGAAATCCCTACATAGACGCAACGCAGACCTCTCGTCTCCCCCATCTCGATTCATATACTGCGTGCGTGGATACGGGAAGAAACCGATCGATGCCATGTGTTCGTACGTGGAGGCGTGTATGACGTTGTACCGACTGAAGCACGGACGAAACTGCACAGTAACTTCAATTGGCTGGACCCTTGCAAAAAAATAAAATGTACATTGATGTATGCTGAAGAACAAATGCTGTTTTGTTTTTAAGATAACTCGTTGCTGACTGTTTAAATTGTTTGCAGAAATTTTTTTAAGTGAATAAAAAAATGGGGTTTAGATGATCCTGCCAAGTACAGCTAATATCGTTATTTGTCATTGCTTTATTTGTGATTGGAGTACCGTCCTCTGTACAATTATTCAAATTTCAACATCAATAACTTTTTTCAAATTTAACAACCGATTTATTTACTATTCAGCTGACATATTTGTGCTAAAGAAATTGTAAGTTCTCTGTATCACCTTTTAATAAGCAGTGCATATTTTAGAATTTTATACGATTCTTTAATCACGCATCCGAATAATGTTTGATTCTTTGAATGATATGAAAAAGTTTCATCGAAATTCGTCCACTTGNTACCATGGATAACTCAGCGGACTGCGCTACACGAGGCCTCACTCCGCCGGAATTGGCCAAGTTTTCGCTGTGGTGGTATGGACCCAGCTGGTTGATCGAGGAGGAAACGTCGTGGCCGAGATTGACAGAGCCGGGCGAAGTTACAGCATCGACGGCGGCTGTGGAGAGTACTGCGCGACCAACGATTGACGCTGAAGACGTGTGCTTGTCTGACTTCAAAAAGTTTTCAGACTTCAATAAAATAACAAGAATTGTAGCGCTATGCCGCCGCTGGCGCGATCGTTTTTCCGCTGGATCGTCGTGGCAGCCGTCGGAGGATTTTTGTGACGAGTTGACGGAGGCTCGATTCTTATGTTTCAAGAGGATGCAAGCTCATCATTTTTCGGCCGAGTTGAAGGCTCTGAAGGCAAAGAAGCCCTTGCACAAGCGAAGTGTGCTTGCAAAGTTGTTTAGGGGCGTTTGTCAGCGATGTGTAAAATGTGTGCGATACAAGGCCGCAGCCATCAGTCAGCAAATGGCTCCTCTCCCAGCCGTTCGAGTGACTCCCGGGCGACCCTTTTCAATTACTGGAGTGGATTACGCTGGACCTTTGCCGGTGTTATTCTCAAAAGGAAAGGGTGCGAGAGCGACGAAGAGCTACATCTCTATTTTTATTTGTATGGTGACTCGAGCTGTTCACGTGGAGGTTGTCTCGGACCTCACTGCCGCTGCCTTCCTTGCAGCTTTCAGTCGCTTTTGCTCTCGTCGTGGCTTGCCCTCAGTGATGTACTCGGACAACGGAACCACGTTTAAGGGTGCGTCTAAGGAGTTGATGGCATTGTTCAAGCAGGACTCAAGATTTCGCGCCGGGGTCGGAAGAGCGCTGGCAATGCGAGGTACACGATGGTCGTTCATCCCACCTCGAGCGCCGCATTTCGGAGGACTTTGGGAGGCTGCCGTCCACAGTTTCAAGCATCACCTGAAGAGGGTGATTGGAAAGTCGCGGTTGACGTACGAGGAGCTTTCGACGTTGGCAGCGCGTATCGAGGCATGTTTGAATTCTCGTCCCCTTTGTCCAATGTCAGGAGATCCGGATGACCTTGCAGCGCTCACACCAGCGCATTTTTTGACGGGATCTTCGCTGCTGAATTATCCCGAACCATATAACCCGAAAGAGAAGCCCATGTATTTTACGAGTCGTTGGAGACTGCTGCGTAACATGCGCGATATGTTTTGGACCCGGTGGCGAAGAGAGGTGTTGAACCAGCTGCAACAACGTAGCAAGTGGTTGGACTCGAGATCCAACTTGCAAGAAGGTGACATGGTTTTGATAAGAGACGAGCTCTCTCCTCCGTCTGAATGGCCACTCGGGCGAGTCACGAAGACTCATCCAGAGACAGATGGGCTGGTGCGCGTGGCTACCATCCGGACCGCACAGGCTACATTTACGCGGCCAGTCGTGAAGTTGACGAGACTTCCCACGGATAAAGAGGCAGAATCTTACTACGCCACAGGACAACGTCAATGATCTGTTGTTTAAATTTTTTCTCGTTTTCATTGTTTTTCTTTAAAAATTGATCGATATTAATTATGTTTGCTTTGTGTAACTCGTTTTTTTTTTGTGATTTAATTGATTCTTGTGTAACTTTGCGTTTTAATATTTGTATATAATTTAGCCTGTTATTGTTCTCTTTTTTTGACGCTGTGTATCGTCAACGCGGGCGGTATGTTGGGTTTTGGCGCTTTCGGACAGGGTTGCTGGAGTGAGAGAAGGGATTTTGCGTGAGAGCGCTCAACGAGCGGTGATAGAAGGCGATGATTAATTTGAATGAGAGCTGTTAGTCAGCAAGAGACGGTCGCTACTCTCACTCCAGCAACGGAGCTTTGGAGCCTATCGCGCTAATTGTCAATTTATCGATCACGGTTTAATAAAGTTATTATTTCAAAAGAAAGGTGTGCATAGTCTTGGCTTTTTCCCGCAACCCACAAGCCAGGACGGCTCATTTAATTTCTACGGCCCGCAGCGGCAACACATTCTATCCAGAAAAAATTACGGATAAGTGATTTCGATGTGTTTTTTCCTCAGCTTTCCAGTGGTGAGGTCAAAAATGCAAAAATCAGCCTCCATAACCTCAAAAAACGGACTTGAACATAAAACACGCTGTATCTTTTTTGGCGCGAGGTTTAGAGATTTTTTGAGGGTCTAGATCGAAAGATCTTGCAATTTTACATAAGAAATGACTCTAAAAAAAAGAGACTTTTTCGATTTTCTCGAGCGGTGAAGAAGGAAAGAGCGCGCGGTCGGCCGTTTCCGAGCGCCGCGGCCTGTTTTTTTGCTACACTTTACGTTTCTTTATTTAACACGCGTTAGGCTTTCGCCATAAAAATAAACAAATACATGGTTTCTGTGTATTTTTTCCTCATCTTTCCAATGGTGCAATTAGTTTTTGTAAAATTGACTTTTTTGAACAGATAAATTAACTTTTTTGATTAATAGTTTCATTATTTTCGTTTTATTCACGAAAAAAGCCATTTTTCCAAAAACTAATCGCACCATTGGAAAGATGAATCACATTTTCATAAAAAGCTATTGAAACAACTTCATAGCTTTATTATAAAACATTATGTCAAGTTGCAAATATATAACTTTGCTGTACATGTACTTTTTTCACTTTCAAAAAAATGGCATTTTTAGCCATTGGAAAAGCAAGAAGCAGTCAGCAGACTGTTATTGACATTTGATCCGGGCTCGCGCACGAAACAGAAGGAGACAGAAGATATGCCGAAACCCACGCGCTGCGAGTGGTGGCGTTACTGTACACCTATAGACATGTAAACAAACACATTTCTGCTAGATGTACTCTAACCAAAGAATAAAACGAGTATCAATAAATGGCGCTACCAACTTTTGAAAGTCTCGAGATTCATGATACTCGTGGCAATGTATAAAATGAACGCCAATAAATACTCTTTTCAATTCAATTCAATTCGAGATTCATGAGAGAATGGCAACGATGTATTTTTGAGTTGTTTCATTCATTTTTTCTAAATAATCATGAAAGTATCGGTACTAAATAGGCTGTACATCATGGTACAGTTAAAATTTTCAAATTCCGAGCACGGCACTGAAAAGCTGAGGAAAAATCCTATCAAAAAAGTCAATAAAAAAAAATTTTTTTTTTGAGATTTTAGGTACCTTTCCCCCCTTAACAAGTCTAAGGCAAGCCAGTATTTCCTCATGTTGGCGGAAAAATTTTGGAGCTTTTCTCGCTGTGCAATGTCTTCTGGCAATTCGTCTACGATGTTTGTCAGACACTGGACACCCTCAGCCATACATTTTTCCGGTAGGTGTGCCAGGGCATATGTAATCTCTAAAATATAGTTGTATTCAGGGAAAAATTTTAACTTGCACTATCGTTTAACGATTGCCTGAAAACGAAACAAAAATTGCATGTATATTTACAGATGTTATAATCATATTTTTTTTAAATATGTTTTACCTGCTTGTAATGAAACAAGCATCTAGCATTTAGAAAATTCTCTTTCGCAAATTTAATCTAGGCTTTCTCAAAGTCCATGTGGATGGACTTAACTGAAGATTTTCTTCCAAATCGCATTGTACATATCAGTCGTCATAAAAATATACATTTATAGCACTACGGGGCTAAAATTCACATTTAAGGCACGCTTTGCCGTGACTTAAGCTGCTCATTATTGCAACGCGGCGTGCCTATCGCACTCGCTGCGTTCGTGCGCCAACTTCAAACCGTGACGCTATTATAAGCACCGTATATCTTACCAAAGGGGGCCTAAACGTGAATTTAGCACAGTGCTATAAAAAAGGATACGATACTTATGACTCAAGTAGCCCATTCTTACCATGGCACTAGCACTCTCGCTTCGCTCGGCTGCTAACCGTGCCGTCCAATAATGGCCTGCTTAAGTCACACTTATCACAATATACTATTGTACCCAGGCGCTTTCCAGGTATGACTTTCATTTTCTAATTGATAAATTGATAAGAAAAACGATACACGTCAATGCAAGTAAACAAGTAAACATAAATCTATACAATCTTACACTAAAGATGGTAAAATTATTTTGATTTTTGTTTTTTTTTTGCAATAACAATTAATCATTTTTATTAAAACCATTCCTTGAAGTAGTATACTTTTATCTACATTTGCATGTAAAAAATAATCAACTGATTAACAGATTTCGATACTTTTCCAAAAACTTTTACACAATAAGAGTCCTAAAAAAATTAACATTTTGACAATAGTATTTTATAGCACTGTATGGCATAAGTTCACATTTATGGCACGCTTTTCTGTGGCATAAGTCGCACATTCTGGCACCGCTGCGTTCGCATCACACTCGCATGCGCTCGGGCGCTAACCTCACTTCGCGCTACCAGAAGTGCGACTCATGACTCGGAAAAGGGGGCATAAATTTGAACTTTGCACAGTACTATAAAATGTTGTTCGATACTCGGGCCATAGGGGACACTTTTCGGCCCAGCTATTAGGACCCTCGCTGCGCTCGGGCCCTAAACTACGCTGTGCCACAAAATGTGACTTATGTCCGTAGTATCGTAATAGTAGTTTTCGATACTCGGGCCTAGCTCAATCTAGAGCAGGACAAAGATTAATGAAAAATTCTGAAGACGTTTCTGAAGACACATTAAGAAATGATGAAACTATTTTGATGCTCTCAATCGAACTTTTGAAACGGTCAAAATTTATTAAAATTTGACAACGAATTCAAAAAAATTTTTTTCAAATTTTTTTATCGGAACCATCGGGTTCTAGGAACCTTTTTTTGTTAAAAATAGCATTTTTCGGCCCTAGAAACTATCGCCTCCAATTAAAAAATCTGAAAAAATTTCAGGTTATGTATTTTGATGAAAAAAATAAGAAAAAATTTTTTCCAGATTTTTCGAGGCTCCGTATCGTCCTAAAAAAATTATTTTCGTCAAAAAAAAGTGGTTTTTTGCTTCAAAAAGTGCGTTAGGTCATCTGAAAAAATCTGAAAAAAATTTAGGTTATGTTTTTCAGTGCAATAAAAAACTGAAAAAATTTCCGTTTACTATATCGGCTCATACCGCCGTATTTCGATTTTCAGAATTTTCAATAATTTTTTCTGAATGCCTGAAGTACTTAAAAAATCTGGAAAAATTCAAGGTGGTTTGGATTGTTGAAAAGTATTTTTGTGAATTTTTTCAGATTTTTTAATTGCTTCATGTCCTCAGAAAAAATATAGATCGAAAATGGACGTTTATACTGGAAGTGGGGGGTAGGAGGGGGGAGGGGGTCTAAAAATTTTTTTTTGGGGCCTTTTTACCATGTATTATAACATACCAAAAGCGCGTCAAGATCGGTGACATACGTGCGCACGGTTTTGTAAAAAAGTATTATTTTGACCCATATACATATAATGCATAAAAATTTTACAGTTGTGAATTGTGCGCTCGTTATAAAAATTCCAATGAATCCGACAAAGAAGCGATGCAGGCTGATTATGAGTCTCATCAAGCAAATAAAAAATTAGCTCGAAGGCGCTCCAAAGCTGATAAAAAAGAAGCTGCATCTAATCCTTCAGTGAAAGTTTTTCACTTCGACCTGCAAAAGGTTCTTATAACGCCAAAAGCTGAAGTTTCAAACTTTTGTTATATGTCGAGACTCACAAACTACAATATGACATTGTATGATTACGTTCGGTGCACTGGATCATGCAATGTTTGGAACGAGACAGTTGAACAAAAAGGTTCCAATAAGATTGAATCAATTTTAATGAACCGGCAAATGGCGAACGAACATGCCTTCGCAAGTCTCCAGGAGAGAATTGCCACTGCGATAGAAACTTCAACCGCTGCTCCCTCGCCTGCTTCTACTTTTAAGACAGCCGACTGCCGGGATGACTGGGAGATTCGCCTGTCGGGCCTTCCAGTGAAATTAGACCCCTGTGACATTACCAACATCAAGCATGTACTTGAAGCGGTAGGAGAGGAAAGATTTTTGTCGCACGTAATGCGTGTACGAGAATAGAAAACAAAGCCTAGTGTATCAGCCGTCAACTCTGCAATCTCTCAGATTGACACTGCTGCAAAGCATGTACCAGACACTAAAGCTTGCGTGCTGCGCTTTGCCTCGGCTAACGTACGTGAATCATTTCTCGTCGCTGCACCGCGATTCCAGTTCCAGCGTCTTCCAGTGTCGAAGATTTTTGTATTGCATGAAGCTGAGGACAGTCGGCTTAGCACGGCGCCCATTCTGCCACCTGATCGCTATTGACTGCTGAGGAGATGCTGTCTTTTTCGAAAACAGCACAGACTGCCTAACCCTATCGTTCGCAATATGCGCATTTACATGCGTTACCCAAACTGCACCAAACTCACCCTGATCAACACCGAGGCTGACTTGAATGCGCTTGCTATCGCACTACCATCGTTCTCTAGCTCGTTCACTTCTAGTCGTCACCCATCACCAACCAGCGCATCATAGGATCCTACCTTCTCTCGTCGTTAAT